ATCATTAGTATAATATTTTCAATAGAATTTTAAAAAATAATAGAGCAAATATGCAGTCTTTTCAATCCAATCTGTCATGAGATGATCCCCTGAAGTATCCAGTTATCACTTCTTAGACATAGAGCTAAATTATATATAAGTGACAACAGAAAATTAGTGATAAAGAATGTGATTTAATCAGTGTTAGGTCGAAATAGTACTACACATGCTAATACTTAATGCTACATTGGAATCTTAAGTTTTAATATTTTCATTTAAGAATTTTTGAAAAAAATACGAAATTCCGTACCGGACAATATTTTGAGATTTTTATATAATGTTATTATTTTAAACTAAAAATATATTCATATCTCAAAACTAGATAGTTTTCATTTTGAATATTTTTCTTTATTTTGTCTCCTTTCAGAACAAAACGCAAAATTTTAAGTATTTCTAAAATTCTATAACGGATAGTATTTTCGGTGTAACTTCCACGAATTTCATGCAAACATTCAAACATATTTCAATTAAGGATAGTTTATGTGAGTATCGACTTATAGTAGAAAAAACAAAGCATTTACTTTGATAACAAAGAAGAAATGGATTAATGATTCTCAAAGACTTTGTAGATTTTATCTTTCACTGAGTTATGTCTTACTTGAAACCTTTCAATCTTAACAGTCCGACTGAAAAATCGATATAGAATGAATGAATTCTGGTTCGATAATTCTTCAAAAATAAATAACCTATTGAGAATATAGCAAAAATTTTCAATCTCTCGAATTTAATAGTGAAAGAGTCCTTGTTTATTTTCCTTCACAGTTCGATATTGTTGATTTAAACAAAAAGACTATATAATATTAAACAAAAAAAATGTTTGATAGTATTTTCAATAAACTCTATAATTTACCCTTATAGAACTCGGCGGAATACCAAAATTAATCCATTGTAATCATGATGAATTAGAAGATAGTTTGAATATAACAACAAAATTATGGATTCTAACGGAAACAATTCAAGGTATCACACTTGCTGAATATTTTGCAAAAAAGGAACGTACATTTTCTGACATAATTCATATAATATTACTACTAATCGATTTAGTAAAAGAAATTCATAATAAAAACATTGTTCATCGAAATTTAACACCAAAAAATATTTTTATTCATAATTCGAATTCAATCGATGGTGTTAAACTTCATTTGACATTAATCGATTTTGATCTTGCACATATCAATGAAAAACATCTTGATAAAACAAATCCGAATATTTGGTCTCGTGATAATAAACAAATGAAAAATGATTTCTATGAAGTACCACAATTCGAAGTAGAAGTATTAAATAACAATGACATTGATTATGAAATCCAACAAGTTGATTCGGCAAGACAAAGTACACTGATTGATACAACTTTAATTTGCGCTTTGCTGTTTTGGATGATTACATTGAAAGAACCAAAACATTCACGTGATCTAAATGGTAAAGCACCACATGAAACCGATCAATCTATTAAATTGATTGAACATATACTCGAAAAAGTAGCTAGTAAGACAAAATACTACGAATAATATCATTTTTATTGATTATCATCAATCAAATTTATTTGTTCATTTAATCTTAGATCGAAATTCAGGAAAATTTCATTCACTACGTAGACACTTGACATTAATATTTGATCGTGGATTTGGAAAGTCTCAACAACAATGGCCAATAAATCAACTTGAAGGTCAAATTTTGTTAATTTGTGAGTTAATCACCAGTATGAAACATCAAGATGACAGTTCACAAATGTTACCGACAATACCAATACCATCCAGCGAACCATTATTCATTCGTTTAGCATCATTTATCAATCGAGTCAAGCATTCTTTTGTTCATTGTTGTACTTATTTTGATTCTATTTGTTGGTCATCCAATGAAAATAATCGATGGTCAGGTAATAATCAAATAATTGATAATTATGACATTCTTATCATCGGAGAACGTCGATTGCCAATCAAATTTCAAATTATTCGATATGAAAATATAGATATGCTTAAATTAAATGTTGAAATCAAAAACGATGATATGACTATTATTGAATTACCATGTGGTTACTGGAAAGAAGATGATATTGAAAATCAATACGAAACTATAACAAATACATTTATCTTGGAATTTATAAATTTTTATAATACATTTATAGAAGAATAAACCAAAAAAACTAATAAGATAAATGATTATGCAAACACGACATATTGAGTTTAGAATATCATTTCAACTAAAAATGTGTTTAGGAGCCATTCCACATAAGCCACGACCGAAGTTGCTCAATCAGGACCATACGATTCTGCTCAATTTAGGATATGTTATAGAGGAAAAAATTTTAAGAATTTTGACGCAAACCGTTTTGAAAAATATTCAACCTACAATTTTTTTTATGAGCATTTTACGAAAAGCCATAAAAATGATCCCTTATATCAAAACGCAAATTTTATGGGCTTATATCTAGAGATACAGTCTGTCAATTCAGCTAAAACTTTCAGTAATTGTATATCTCAGTAAATTCTATTTATCATATAATTTTTATCAAGAAATATTGTATCATTAGAATTGTATGAATTGCCTAATATGTCCAAAAATGCACTTTTGTTCATAAATTTGGGGCTTCAAAATTTTTGATGCGAATCCGATTGGATCATGAAATTTTTATTATAGATAGATATTTGAAAGTACTACTGCTCCTCAAAATTTCAGACTTCTATTACGCTCCCTATCGTCAAAAACATCGTCCCACAAACGGGTTTTATTAAAAAACTGCTGATCTTTGGGATTGACTATCTCCAAAATATGGATCCTTTGGAAAAGTAGCTCGTATAAGTTGGAAGTACTTACTGTGGGCTCGAACTCCATAACAAATCAGCGTGGGATCTCTAGAAATGACTTGCATCTAAAGCCATCAACATCAACTTTTTTGGCCGAATTGAGGTCGACGGGTGTGGGTTGTGGGTGGCTGTGTATCAGTCTTCTCTATATCGACACCCACACCCAAGATAGAGTACATGGTTAGTAATTGTCACTGAAACTTGTATTTTTGTAAATGTTGTGGAAAATGTACAAAAAAATCAACTTTTTGATGCCTTAAATCCGTTTTGGACGCCAATGAGTGTTTACACGCTAAAAAACGCCAGCTTTCGAGATGTTCATACGCTCGTGAATATTCCAACGATAAAAAATGTATGTTTTCATTGGTGGAATTCTAGAATTCTGAGTGTTTATACACCCTTTTTTTCTGACGCGTGTAATCGCTTGGAAAAGACAGTTTTACGGTGTGTACATGCATTTTTTCAGAGTCTTGTCTTCTTGGAAGACACGTGTGCATGTGTTTACATTTCGTTGCACTGCAGTAATATGCAAGATTTCAATACAAGATTGAAAAAGAAAGTAGTAGATCAGAGCATAGGTAGAAAGATATTTTTAATGTTTCTCTAAATATTCGTCCTACTACAAATTCAGTGTGTTTCACTAGTGAAGGTCATATGTAAAAAGACATCATCTATCGCTCAGCTTTTCGATTATCTTTGATGATTAAGGTTGAGAATGATATTCTTTTCACAAGTTCACTGTCATTCCACCCGTCGAATCAAGTGTTTTTTCGAAATATTTGAGCGCAATCTGTGTTAGAAAAATTTCATTTTTCCGTTCATAGTTCATAGTTCATAGACTTCGAAAAAATATGATCAAAGTCGATGTTGTCGACGCTAAATTCAGACTGCTTTCGAACATGCTTGAAAATAAATTCGTATTTGAAGATTATACAAGCAGTAGTTTGAAAGCATTACGATTCCTATTTCAGTAACGAGTCTTCCGATTGTCTAAGGCTAAGGAAGCTAATAAATACGTGATTGCGCTAAGTATTAATAGAAACCTGCTATACCTGTGATTAACCGAATCGAGTTCAGTATTTGATCATCCTCTTGAAAAAAGGCTCATATTCAATAGTATGTTGTCTCATTTTTGAAAATAATTAAAATACAAACATGAAATTTTCGTACAACGAAAAAAAGAAAAGGAATCAGGTGAAAAGGTAGACATTGACAAGGTTCATCGTCGAAGTAAAATAGTTTTTGCAGCTTCCGCCATCGAGAAATTAAAAAGTACATATGATATAGATAAGGAATATGGCTAGAGTATAGCTGTATTCTACGTCCAGATCTGCACTTACAAAAACGCTCCCAAATACACATATCCTAATTTTGAAGTTAGTGTCTTAAGTTTTCAGAATTTTGATCCGAAAGATTGGATACATTTTGACGGAAATTTACCAACTATAGTTTCTAATTAGCAGAAAATTAATTAAATACTGAGGAAGAGGTCTTCTATTACGTCTAATGAACTATTTCCTCAGGATAATCTTGTATTACGGTGAGAGTTCACTGAAAAATTATAATGCCAAATACAAACTGTTTAGGTATTTGTAAAACAAGTTCAAACCAAATCCAAATCATAATCTAAATATATCATAGAAGTCTAAAACCTAATCTCGAAAGTTTGATGCCGAATTCAAAGCTATCTCAAGATTTGTTCCATCTGTAGTATCTCGAAAACAAGTAAATATTAATGCAATATGCATCGCTATTTCAAATTTTTATTAATTTTTTCCCTTGATATTTGTAAGAAGAGTTTAAGAATTGTAAGTTCGATTTAATAAACTTGAACAATAACAAATTTCTCTAAATTCCGGTCTTTTATACATAATACAATCTGATGTTTCTCCATATTTATTTATTCTACTTAAACCTTCTTTTCTAATAATGAATGTATCATTTAATGGATTATATTGAGCAGATAATTCAAATAGAGCATATCCAGGAATAGTTTGAAATTGTATTTGATAAGTTTTTATTTGATTGCTTTCCAATGCATTATTTCTAAAACGAGGTAGACGACCATCTTTATCTTTCGAATTAACAAATTTTAATAAATGTTCATTAGCTGATAATTGATTAGCTTTATCAATACGATATAGACTTAAAGAAACACATTCATTTTTGTAATCAGAGATAAAATTATTAAGAAATTCCACAGATTGTTTTCCTAATTGTTGTATAATAGGTTCATCTATTGGTATAATATTCCAATTTAAACATGCACACCAATGTTCTTCGACATTAGCTTGTGAACAAGTACGATATTGAGGTATTAATTGAAAAAGACTATATGAACGATTGCTCTTCGATTGATATCGATTAGGTGAATGAAATTCAAATAAATGTTCGAATGTTTCATGTAAATCAAATGGTGTTGTTAAACGATGAGAATTTAAACGTAAATTATACATTAAATTAGGATAGTTATCTTGAAATTTTTTTGGCATTTGAATTGATAAGAATGGTAAACGTTCTTCTAATTTACCTTGATAAGTTTTTCGTAACGATGAAAAACGAGCACCATGATCACTCATTAAAATAAATATTGTATTATCGAAATAACCACGATTATTCATTAATTTTAAAAATTCAACCAATTCATCATCAGCATATGGTAAGCGATTATTTGAATTATGTGAATATTGATTATGAAAAGCAAATGAAAATTTTGGTGCATTGGGATACATTTCAAATAAATAACGTATCCAATTTAGCATTGATTGAAAACGTGTTATAGAACCGAAACATAATGGTTTTGATGTACGCAGTGATTCAGCAACCAGATAAAATGGACGATCATAGTAATCAACAGGTTCTTCATCAAAACCTTTTAAACGAAATTGAAACGTACCGTGTGATTGAAAATCTTCAGTCCATTGAGTTATATAACCATTATCTAGATATTAACAAGCCTAGTCCACTTTCTCTAAAGCAATCCCTGTCGGATGATAGAATTCCGGACGAGTTCCCAAAACACCAAGCTAAAAATGGCAAATCTCTGAAGAGTCCATCGAGGCTCCCTGTGGAAGTCTTCAAGGGAATCTTGACAGATTTCTGTTTGAATTCGTCACATTTACCTTGATTCTTTGAGAACTTCTCGGAAATTCTATCATCTGGCAGGGATTTTGTTAAGGAAAGGAGACTAGGGAATTCATCATTTTATTTTCTATGTTTTATCATCTAATTGTACAAGCAAAGGCAAAGAAAATTTTCTAACAAAAGAAGGCCCCTAATTGATCCGCGTCGTTTTTATTGATATTTTGCTCATATGTGAAGGATCTCATGCCAAGAAAAAGTCTAAGAAGATTTGAGTCCATGTAGCTTCTTGCAAGAGTTACGAAATTGTTTACTTCTCTACCTATCAAACGATCATATCATTAAAATTCATGTAATTCATTAACGAATGAATTTCAAGATCCAATTTTTTTCACGTCATCTAACACAAATTCATGATTTACAACTTTAAATCAGAATAATTAATTGAGCTCAGATCTTGATAACTTTAGTAAGTATAAAATTCTCTTATGAAAAAATCTGTTTTTTTAATACTTTGAAGTACCTTCGAAATATGCAGAATATTATTTTCTGACAAGTCGTTTCTCTCTTCCGATCGTGAAAAAGAATGAAAAGAAATCATAAAAATCATGTAATTAATTCGGTTAATCATATGAGTATATACTTTCTTTCGTTTCTATCAGAAGGACGCAAAATAGAGAAAATATGCTGTTGATCATTTAGTTCATTCTTCTTGTTGACGTAACATGACGTGCAAAAATACACATAATGCGACTAAAATGCTTTCAAATTTAGTTTCAACAAATTTATGTATTAACAAATCATCAGGAATCGATTTTTGTCGAGACGAGAAAGTTGCTAAACAATTGTTTGATAATCTTGTTTCTATAATCAGCAGTACTTTTATGTTGAAAATGAAACTTCTCTCGATCATATGTTCGATTTCGACGATGACAAGAGTGACGAAGCCGATACGGATCTAAATGAACCATCTCATCATGATAACAAAGACAATATTCTATTTCGATCTTTTAGTCTCGAATACTTTCAAGGAGAAAGATTCAAAAATAGGGAAATGGAAACGGAAGTGAAACACCATTCAGCATCGATTCAAGACTGTTTTATATAAAGGATATATATTTCTCGTTTTTGTCATTATTTGGCAACAAACAGAAATGAAAGATAGAAACTTGATATGATTGTTATGAAAAATCTCGGCACTAGTGATTACCGGTACAGGATATCGATTTTAAACGCCAAATGCTGCGAAAGGTGAACGAAATATTATTTATTGATTTTATTGCTTCAGATCATTGGCTGAAGCGTTTTAAATACAACCAGGGTGTGGTTGTGTGAGGTAAAATAAACAACACTCACATCCACACCTTAGAAGCTGATGCATCCTCTTTTCTTAAAAAACCTTCAAGAAACGAAATTTTTGCTTTACAAGATCCCCATTAATTGTAATTTTTATAGTCTGACAGAATACTTCGACTAATTCCTAAGACATGAAAAATACTGTTTTTTTTTTAATAAGAGAACTCTATACTTGCTAGAATTATCACGATTTGATTTTATTTTGAGTTTTAAATCATAAATTTGTGTTAGAAATAGTAGATAATAGATAAAGCTATGATATGAAAAAGAATTGGATCTTGAAATTCATTCGTTAATGAATTATGAGTTTTTTTGATATGATCATTTGCTAAGTAGAGGAGTAAACAGCTTCATATCTATTGACAGAAGCTGCATGAACCTAAATCTTCTTAGGTTTTTTCTTAGTATGATTTCTTTTGCATATGCATTGGTAACATATCAATAAAAATAGCTTGAATCAGTCAGAAGCTTCGCTCATAAGTAAACCAAATTATATTCAATGAAAAGCTCCTCTGAGAATAGATGTGAATGACTGAAAAGGGCTTTTCTGAAGAAAATATTTCAGTCAAAAGATAGTTTTTATTGTTTTTCAACGATCTTTCTCTCTTTTGTCAGTTTTGATATTAAAAGTAGTTTTGAGATAACTATTCACCTTTAAATTTCTTCCAAATCCAAGGAAATCGATCAACTGATTCTGCGCCAGCATGACCACGTCGAGCTTCAGGTAATTCTAATTCTGTTTTACCAGTTAAAATTGGTAAAAGTGCTGCTGGTGTGCCATCACCAACAATATTATAACCTAGAAATGATAATCATACTTAATTATTTACTAATCAAGAACTTTCTTTTTCTAATTTGTACCTTTAAAAACGATTCCACCTAACTCTTTAATTAAATAAGTATAAGTTTTAGGTAGAAAGCGCATAAAAGTCATTCGAGATACAGAATCAAAACCAAACATTAAAACATTATAACCAAGATGGGTCTTAATCATTGGATTCAATATATGTCTAAACAAACATTTTATAATTGTTTATACCTAATCATATAATGAATAACCTCATATGTAAATGATCATGATACATAATGCCTGAATGAATATTTGAATAAAAAGTTCCATCATGTCCTCGACAATCAGCATGAAAAAAGTTTGATAGAAGAGCCATTTTATCAACTACAGGAAATAAACGAACACCTTCAATTGTAGAAAAATCATCTTTTGATCGAAGAATAGAACGATAACCGCATAGAATTGGTCCATGCTTTTGCAAAGCTTGTTCGGATAATCGAAATGTACCTAAATAAATTACTAGTCATCTCATTTTATTATATATTCATAATTCAAACCATTATCAACATAAACCCAATTGGTTGATTTTTCACAATCTGGTTGTGATTTTCTTACCGGATCTAAATGTTCCCATATTTCAGGATTCTCAATCATTAATTTGGGCTGTTGACAAGTCAAGTCTGTTGTATTAAAATTATCTTCATCTAATGATTGTATGTCTTTAGCTAGTTTTATTTTCACATTGTCAAAATTATGTTTATTAATAATTAATCTTTTCAAACTTCCAAGTTGTTCTTCAGAAAACGTGTTCCAATCAAAATTGTAAATAAATGCTCCAGTGAAACTTGTCAAATATAATATCATCAAATAAATACCTAAACGACTAAGACGATAACGTAGACATCGACGAAATATTTTCATTCTTGTTTGCTTTTTTTTATTATTTACTTCTCTAAAAAAAAGATTTTTCATTCGAAAAGCTATCGAAATTTTTCTATCTAATCCAATGAGAATACAGCTCTAAGATCAATGATCAAAGAGCAAATATCAAAGCTCAAGGATAAAAGATCAAAAATTAAAGGCGCAGATGGAGTTCGATCCTTCACATTGAAACAGACTAGGAATGATTAGGGATATACCGAAGAGAAAAAAACAGGAGGAAGGTAGTGGAAGAGATTTTTTTTCTGGAGGGACAAAAGACGTACACACACAGTCAATAGTGTTAAGTTAACAAGTAAATGGTAAAAATAACGAGCAATATTTAGTTTTTAGTCAAGGAAAGGCTATTTTGTGAGTATAAACATGTTTTATTCTTAGGGCATACTAAAAGTAGTAGAAGTGACACTTTAGTACCATGTAGTAGACTTAAAGAAGCTTTCTTTCAATATAGTCTGACAGAGAAAATAAGCTCTATCTATCTGTGAGTTTTGGTCATACTTCAACTAATATCATAATATTATATTATATGTAAAACCTATTTTGGCACGATATGTGCTGGTGGTAAGGTGCCGACAAATCGAATTTACAACAAAAAGTTTTTCACCTTGTTTTTACATATGGTTTGATAGAGCATGAGCTGCTGATCACGAATAACTAGTTTCTAAAGTTTATGAACGCTCTTTTCGAGTCGAAAAATATAACTTTTTCGAAATGTGCAAAATTCTCTGCTTATTTGTTATTATTAGTTTCTGAGAACATTTTTTCCCGATTCAGCGTTAAAAGCTAAGTACAGTAGAGCTCTTAAATTGACGTTAACCTAGAAGGTATTTTGATGATGATGCCTCAAATACCATCCATTACAATACTTATAGGCCAATATTTTAAACCTATCTAATTTTGTCAGGCAAGTAACGCAATGGAATATTTTGACTCATTCGAATCATTATTTGAAAGATTTTCCGAAAGTCATTCTAGAAAAACAATAGTTTGATATTCCGCCCGATATGTAATCATTTGTAACATAGAAACGGATAGAGTTCCATGTTTTTTCATGGTTTGGCATGCTTTTCTGTATAATATGAAGACAAATCTGCACAGTAGGAGTATTAAAAATTTACTTTTCTTACCAGCTTATTTCCATTCATTTTCACTCAGTTCAAAAAATTGACCACTTGGATATTAGAGGAGGAAATCAGAAATCATATGATTACGATCACGATTCTTTCAAAGAAAAAACAATGTTTTTTCGCTAGAAAGACAGCGTTTCGGACAAACTTTGCCAATTCGAAAGATGGATTCATCATGAACTAGTGAAGACGAAAATTCAAAAATGCACAATGAAAAATGTGTCTAAAACTTTGTCTAGCTATGCTTGGGTATGGGTATGGGTATGGGGCTCCTGTCTCTTGTCTGAATACTCATCGACTCTCACACCTACATCGAAGTACGCGTTTCAGAATGGAAAATTTATATTCTGGATAGTGATATTTGTTTATGAAAAAATGAGACAAGAGATCATTTTATTCATTTGATTAATTAGAAGAAAGTTTTTTTTTTTTACTTTAAACAATTTATTTCTTTGTTTGAGATCGTTTTATCAATTCAATTAAATTTACAAATAATTTAAATTATCGAAATTATCTTATCGGTCATATTAAACAAAAGCAAAATTCAATGATAAAGAAATTAGTTAAAACATATATTACATCTTTTGTTTTTTCTCTAAATATTATAAGATATAGGATTAAGATAATACTAGAATTCTCGACTATGTTTATATCAGAAATTATGTTTTTGAGAACACCATATTAAATCGTACCAGATCATATACTAAGTTCGTCTATAATCTTGGGGGAATTATAGAAGATCATATACGTGAATTGTTTCAATTGGCCTTGTTTATTTAGAATTATGCCAATAATAGACGCCATGGCGAATACTAAATTATTAAACTAAATTTCTTTATTTAGATCCATTTCAATCACACAACGAACAGGAAACTTTTTTTCATATGAAATATCTTTTTTTCTATTTAGATTAATTTCAACAACAATTTCTACGGCAAGTTTATTCCTACTTATTCAAATAGATTATTTGCTTTGGCTTACGAATGAGCGAATGGAGTATGAAATCACTCATTTTTTTTTACTAAAGAGAAGCTTGTGCGTATATGATCCTTCATGTCTTGTAACGATACTCCTGGATCGTTAAAAACAATTCATTTTCGAAATAGTCTTAACACTTCAAAATTCGATCAAAATCTACTCAATTTAGTGCTAAAACATTAAACTTCACATATTCTATCGATTGATATTTAACTCGATGTGATTGACCATGATAAGTCCTAATGTGCCACTTCTGCTTCATATAAACAACTTTATTGAGTTTTAAATTCACTACCGAATACTGTGTAAGATACTTGGTAGTTTGAATTAGACATTGACAGAGATCGAGACTGACATTTTTGTCTATTTCATATAGATGTAAACAATGCATTCTTCAGAAATCTTTATTAACATCATATAGAGGTTTAATATTTTGAGTGTGAAATCTGATTCTCATAGACTTTCGTTTAAGATCAAAAAAGAAACAAAAATCATAATTTCAATGTATGATGTATTGTGGATTTCTGTGTTGATTTCTCCCATAATTTCTATATGGTACAAAACTGAAAAAAGCAATTCATCTGACACTGTTCGTAAAAAATAAATGAACACATATGAGAAGCAATTAAGCAAAGTCTATTGACATATAATAGCATAATATTTGGTAAAACGAAATAAAGATTCTGAAAGCAGAGATTCAAACACGTAAGCCTATGGTAGAAACTCAATTTTTTCTTTGTTTAGAAATTGGAAATCGATGAATGGAACTTCTCAGAAAAAGGGACAAGAAAGCATTACATTTCTTTTTGTCACCATATCCACATATAACATAACACTGATATAAATATGCTTACAATCAAATTGAGATTTGCATATGTGTGTTTGTTTTCTTTTGTATGGCTGAGAAGGAGCTGTTACGTCTAGATCATTGAAACAAAATGAGTGATTTTGTTTTTCTCTAGAAAACGTAACAGTAACTTTTTCACAGACAGATAGAACGTAGACAGAAGATGCATCATATAAATATTCGTATTCGGCTTTTTTTTTGTTTTATAAAATTGATCCCGTCTATTGTCTATTCTTAATCGTTTTTTTACATTGTTGTCTCTTTGTAATAATCTACCTTTAGTTGATGCTATCGAGAACAGTCAGATAACGATCAAATCTATTAAAGCTGGAAAAAAGGACAGCAGTGTTCAGACTTTCGAAAAAGGATATTTTGGAAGTTTTGGAAATTTCAAGTACTTGTGTTCTAAATTGTTTGGGATTTCCAAAATTATATAATTTCCAAAATTCTATACGTAGCGAAATTTCCGAAATTACAGAAAATTCTGAAATTTCTAAACTTTCAAATATTTCCAAAAAATTTTCATTTGCTTTGCTATGTAGTTATCGAGTTGATGGAAGCTTCGGAAATTTCTGTAATTTCCTTTTTTGGAAATCTGAACATACCTCAAAAAGGATAATTTCTCTGTTGGATATGCATACTGCGAAATAAAGTTAAGAAAAAGAAAATATTCTTAACATTTAAATAACATTATATTATAGACAATCGATTCTATTCATACTGAACGACAGTGTGTTTTGCTTTGCGACAAGGGTGTGGGTGGGTGTGATTGTAACTTTTCCCCTCAACTACACCCACACCCATACCCATCCACACCCACACCCACACGTATCCACACCCACACCCACACCCACACCCCACCCACACCCTATCCAAATGGTCTCTCTTCTTCTTCTTCTTCTGTTATAAAAAATAATCTTTTTGAATATGTTTTTCTTTCAAAATGTAAGAAAGAAGTTTCACTTTACTTTTTAAAAAATTCTACTGATCTCGCTTTTCGTTGCTAATGACTTTGGAATACTCAGTTTTTAGCAGTAAAAACAATTCAAAACACGTGTATGAATCTATGTTACCTATGACTGTTTTCACCAAGGTTGCGATTGTTTCATAGTAAGCTATTTCGAAAAACAAAATATCTGTAATATGAAATCATGCAAAAGTCTATGAATATATGTATTTTAATCGCCACTAATTTCTATCCATTTTTTTTTTTGAATACATTCAAAAGGTTTAAAAATATTTATTTCAAATAAATATTGAACCAGCATTTAAGATATGTAATTTTCACTGTCAATCGGCATCATCAATAGAATTCATGATTCGAAAAGTACCGAAACATTATCTAATTGATGTGATTTGATTTCTTAAGTCAATAATTATTACTACAAGTTCATAAAAGCAAGCTGTAAACCAGAGAAAATAAAAAAATTCTCTCATACTATTTCTTAATATATGGGAAGATGGGGATTGGCCAACAAATCGGTCGGTGTCAAAAATATTAATTACAAGTGGAATTTTGAGGTTCAAGTCACAAATGCGTCGCTTCATAAAGAGATATTTTTTTTCAGTGGAAAAACGAAAATTCATAGTAATATTCAAGATTCCTCTATGAAAAATGATTTCTCGTATAGGAAAAATTGTTACATGCTACAATATGTGTATATTCATAAGTGAGGTGCATTTTTTTAGTACGATTGGTGCAAAAAATTGACAGTAGATGTAAAGAATGTTCGAGCAGAGCTTTTTGTTACACTATATGATTATGTTATACAGCAAAAGTTGGCGAACACTTTATTACATTTTAGCGGAGATAAGTTGTATTTTGAGGTAAATGTACTATAAAAGTCGTTGTTTTAATGAAACATGTCCTTGTAGAGGTCATACTGCAATGTAAATATCTCAATTGTGATAATAGGTTGGATGCTGAATTTTTCGCTGAGCGTAGAAATCTGAGAATTATAACTACAGTAAAAATTTGAACGAAAAGAAATGAGGCATTCAGAAGTTTTTTATATAGTAATTTTGAAATA